GCCTATTATGGCAACAGCTGTTACGTAGCCCTGTGATGGCTGTACATTGATGATGGCAAAAGAAATGCTAGAAGTTATTTGGCTCCAACAGAATCTGTTTTATTCCGGTTTCAGACTGGATGATGGCAAAGCCAAATTTCCCACACACATGATATTTTGTATCATTTAAAAAAAGAACGCCTTTTGCCATCAATTAAAAGTGAAACCGGATGCTAAGAGATTGTTCCCTGTCTTGGATGTAAGTTGTTGGTAGAAGAGATTTATTAGAAGCATTTCATAGATATTTGGCTGAATTAATAAATCTTGTGAGGAGGAACTTTTAAAAAATACTTTCTTGTAGTAATGTGCAAAATGGAAAAATTTTTATCAGTGTACTTAATTTTATTGATTGTAAATCTTAAAATATTTATGTATACACATTATTTTGTGGGTAAAAACCAGTAACGGTAAATTTCACAGAGGTCAGAGTAGTCTAATGGGAATAAATCATATAAAAATGAAAATGCAGTTACTTCCTTGCTCTTAACTAGGTTAACATTTTTAAAAGGAGATGTGACATGATTTGCTCTTTCATAGTATTTCCTTTTCTTGGTTAGAAGGAGCTTCCAGCTCCATTTTTTTTCTTTACCTTTATTCATTACTGTGTAAGATGTTAGGGATAGGTGTTGGGGTGATCTGCACCCTGGGGAAATAGGTTGGGTAATGTACTGGAAAAAATATGTTTAGGAGTCTGAAGCCCTGGCTTTACATATCCTTCTGCCACTTATCATTGATGAGTGCTAGGTAAATTTCCGTATCTGAAAATAAGTATATGTATATGGCTTTTGATTTTTCAGCCATTCTGTGTATGAGAGAATTCTTACCTATTCTTTAGTGGGTGAGTAATGACATTGGCATATTCTCAGTCTTGAAGATGATCCGTTCCTTACTTTAATTTAGTTTGGTCCACTTTATCATATTTATAAAACTTGATCTGTAGCTCAGTTCTTTCAGCCAAGTGCTGAGTATTAGGTGGAAGATTTGGAAAAAGTTCCAGATGTTATGATAGCAGATGGCAATTCCCTACTCATCTTCTGTAACTTTAGATTCTTGATAGTTTGCTGTGAGTGTTTGCTTCTAGTTATGAAATAATAACGAATGTGTTCTCATTAAAATGTAGATGAAATGTTCACATGTGTAATATATTTATTATAGTTTTGACTTTCCAGTCTTTGTGCTAAATTAGTAAGGTACTTAAATCATGTCAGTTTATTGAATTTTACTATGAATCAGTTTTTTTAAAATGGAATCTGCTGTATACTATTTTAAAGTCAACACAAATAACTATGCAAAATTTTCGACATTATTTATGATATAGTAGTTTCTTTATGCCATATATGGCAAAATTTGAACATTTTTTTTGTAATAAAATTGTTTTGCATTTTCAGTTCGTAATTGTGTATCTCAAATTAAACAATTACCTGTTTTCAGCCTCAGTTTTCCTTGCAGATCAATATTTTGAAACCGACAATGTCATAAGTCTCTTTTTAGGGAGTAATTAAAAGAATGGAAAATTAAAAAGCAATATTTGAAAATGACATAATGGGTAATTTGCTCATGTTCATGTGGGAAATGTGAGTTCACTGCAGTTGCTGCCTAATTAAGTGGAGGCACAACAGCAAGTGGAAATTAGTGTTCCTAGAATTTATTTTTATACATTTTTTACACTGAATGCTACATACTGGTTTCTTTTTTTCTCTTCTCAGTCCGTTTAATATTTAGGTCTGTTATATGAAAGTACTTCATTCTCATAAGACATAATCAATTAAAAATAGGATTATAGAGTTTGTTTATAGATGTCTATTAGACTCTAGTTGCTTTTTTAAAAAAATGTGAAGGGAATTATTATAATCTTTTATTATGGGAGTCAGATTCTGGATTTGAATTGTACCAGTCAAATAAGCTTTACTTCCTTTCCCCCTCCATTTTAAAACATCTTCACATTGCCTTGATTTCAACTAATAAAACCAAAATATTTGTAGTGCCATGTGGTAGCCAGCAACAAAATGATTCTGGAAAATGGCATTAATGTATTATGAAAGGTAATATCTTCCTGTCTTCTGTAGTCTCCAGGAAAAACCTTTTGAGAACTAATGATCAGTTCATTTCGCAGTGGTTTATAAATAAATCTGTAATAAACATTTTTGGATTTTTAGTCTCATGACTGATTTTTCCTGAGATTTTTCAATGGGAATTCAGCTCAGAAAAGACATAATTATGACACAGTGAACAGGTTATGTATGGCTGGATTGTTAAGCTTGCTAAGACTTAATAGTATTGGGAAACACAAATGCTTCAGATCTGCATATAGTAATTTGAATTGCATATGTTACTGCAGGCAATCTCCCAATTCTACATCCAGTCCCACTCACATACTTGTCTTTCCTCTTCTGTCCAACCCTTGTCACACTCCAGTATAGAGCTACAGCTGTGGCCCTCCAGCAAAAGAGAGTGGGGGTAAAGTCATAGGTGAAGACAGCTGGATCACCGACTTGTACTTTGTGACTCTATTTTCATTCTTTTGCTACTGAGGAAAGATTAAGCAGGCTTATTTCAAAAGAACAGCTGACACTATCCGTACAAAGTCAGTAATTACGTCAGTCACTATAATTCTTTGGGGTTTGTGGATCTTCTTTCACATTTATGTGGCAATGGTCCAGTGTGTAGAACTAGACAAGAAGTGGGTGAGTATGGATTGGCTATGTGCCAAATGTTCATACTAAACCAGGTTCTTGCCATTTTTCCCTAGCCTCCCTCCTTTTCCGTTAGTTGTGTGAGCTGTGAATCCTTATCTGAGTGAAGTAGGATCACTGTTAACTGATACAACAGATTGACCTTGTGGGTAGGCAACCTTCGTGTCTTTAAATTGACAGTGTTCTTTTTTAGTGTAGGCTAAGAATTCTTGCTGGACACACATTGTTGATGCCTGGAATGCAAGTTTAGGAACTTTTTGCTGTTTTTAAGTTTCTGTGTCACTGATTTATTTGTTCAAGTAATCTATTGTTCAACTAATTTATTTATTAGAAAGCTTAAAATATGGACCAGTGTATTTACAGCTGCATAGGTAGAAATGCCTAGGGTGAAATGTAGAAAGTTGAAAGTTTTATTTTTGGTTGTTTGGTTTTTGGCATCAATGGAGTAAACTTTCAAGTCAGAAAGTATTAATGACTTTCAAGTCAGAAAGTATTAATGAAAAACTTTCACATTCATTGCAGTGAACCAGCAGTATTATGATTTGTTTGCTGAAATGGAGGGCTGTTTGCAGCCCTGACCTTCTTGATCACAAGCACTCCAAAGTGAGGAAGGCACTGTGGGCACTTAGAAGTGATCTGAACCTTATGAGTTTTGGTAATTTCTGTGTGAGGTCACTGTACTCTTGAGAGATGGAACACATCAAGTGGTCTCAGTTATTTAAATCTGTGCTTAGGAAAATGCAGGATGAGTGCTAGTAACATTTTATTTTTGATGTAATTAGTGAGTCTGAAATCAGATAAAGGGATTATGATTTTTTTTTCTGTTAATGAAATAGAAAATACAGTTTTGCTATTGGTTCTGCAGACCAGCAGCATTGCATTATCTGAATGTCTTATGGAAATGGAGAATCACAGGCTTACTGTTACATTACAAAGTGAATTTATGTGTATGCTAAAAAATTCCAACATTAATGTTTATAAAATATTGAAATAAATATGTAAAGTTTAGGAACAACACATTTATTAAAGTGCTTGAATCTTGTTTGTATATGTTCAAGCTCAGGCCAGCATTCACTCTATAAAATTTTAGGTCCACTTTTTGCAATTTGAATGATGACATCAAATTTCTGATTTTATTTTTATTATTACCTATGAGAGAGCCATCCTTTATTTGCACTGATAGTGTCTTTCCTTCTCCTTATCTCCAGCTCTCATTTTTTTGTAGCTCATATTCCTCTGGTTATTTTTGTTTATGTGTAATGTGCTTCAGTATTCTGAATTGTACTCAGTATTGTCAAAATGCTTTTTTCTAGTTTCAGATTGTAGATAAGTATATTCAGTTTAATGGGAAATTAATGCTAATTAGCAGGATTTTAAAAAAATCTAGTACCAAGTTTGAGAAGGTAATACCCAGGTTGTAGCAGTGTGCTTTTTCCTTCTATTTGTTACAGTCAGATTATTATGAACATTTTGTTTTGGATATAATTTAATCACCCTGTCTTATTGGCATTGGGTTGTTCATAGCCTGTCTTAAATACTGGGAGCATCCGTCTCAGAAGGAATGTGTATCGCCAGTTGTACTGAAAAGAGGCAGATACAGCTTTTCTAACTTTAGTTTACTGCATTTCCCTCTAGCCCAGCAAAGGCCAGACCGAGGACTCTAAGCTTCTGTTTCGTTAGGCGATATGCTAGTTTCCTGGAAGTTGACCAAAAGCAGAGAAAAAAATCATATCACATGTATTTAGTACTGGTTCCTTTGGCTGATAATAACCAGTTCAGTGCATAAATAAGCAATTTATTCCTACAAATAAACAACTTAAAAATATGTGAGACTGCAGCTAGTGAAGAGCCATCAATCGGAGTTTTCATTCAGTCATTTTTTTAGCTGGATTTAAACTTTCTGTGTCATACAGCCTTGCGTTATTGCTAATGATCTCACAGTGTTCCATCTGATTATTCCATTGAATTTCTGCTTTGTTTTTAAGGGCCTTAATAGTGAACTTTAATTTCAAAATGCTACAGAGGAATTCCAGAAAAGGGAGAGAAATAGATAGTTTTGAAATTCATGAATCTCTTGACAATTAAGGGCCTAATAACTATTTCATTTTGTTTATTAATTATATCAAATAGTCTGTACAACACTATTGCAGTTGATCACAAGTTTTTCAATTTAATCCATACTCTATAACAGTATGATATACATGTATTTGTTAATGCTAAATGACTTTTTCTCTATTTTTTTGTGCATTTCCCCCCTTTTCCATGAAGGCCTTATCTCTTTGGAGCGGGGTGTTTTTCCATAAAAGCTCCATGGTGAGTTCCAGTTCAGTCCCGCATGCCTAATTCATTTTCTGTACTCTCAAAAAGTGACTCTGTTCTGTAGTTTTGTTTTCAGTTGCATGGCCTGATCACATGTAGATGCACCAGATTTCTGAGTAATTTGTAGATAAGACATGAATGTTAAAATTAAACTTTTAAAAAGCAGGATTATTTCTTATTTCACTTAATTCCTTGAAAAAATTTAATTACTATTACACAATTCTTTAAAAAAAGAATGCTATCATGCTCTGGTAGATATTGCATTACATGGCTAACTCAAGCTTTGAGAATTATTGTGATAGACATTCCCTGCATATCATGCTTCACATTTGAAAACATAATTTATTTTGAAATATAAATATATTTAAATTGTACCAAGAATGCCCTATAAAATTATATTGTAGTTAATTTGGACCTAAAGGGCAACAGTAGTTCTGGTTTTTGAAATCAGGAATGTGAAAAGCTACATGTTGAGTAAGAATGTGTTTCAGATAAAAACTCCCAAATAATTTCTTATTTTGAACTTGTAGGGCCTGCTCATTATACGTTAATTATTTAGTAAATTATTTTATAACATTGGAGAGAAAACAGTTTTGTCAGTTTTGGACATGAACTTGCACGTAAAGATGAGAAATGGAGTATATTATGAACCTGCTATGAAATGTTTATTAGCTAAGTGTCAGAGTCCTCGAATTGGATTGTCGGGGTCTTAAATCACAGCTTACACTTACTAGCTGTATGATCTGATGCAATTTCTAAAACCCTCTGTTTCTTGTTTTTCTTATCTGTTAAATGAATTAGTAGCACTTACCTTATTAGTTATTGTGAGGAATAAATGAACTGATACATACAAACAGTGTCTGGCACATAGTAAACACTCAATAAATATTAGCTGTGACCACTACAAATTTTTTCCAGGTAAAAGGGAAAAAATAATAAGCTTGACAAAAACGTCTTTAAATTATATCAGATTTTTAATTTTTTTTTTTTTTGCTTTAAAGAGTATTTGAAACATGAAAGTTTTGAGAACTATCAGGGAAATTTGTTTTAATTTAGTTATGATACTTAAATCTACACTTTTATATCTTATAACTGCTACTAGGAATTGTTCATGCTATCCTACTGAAGTAGAAGCAACATTCTAAGCTTTGCTGTTACAGATAAGGAGCTTAAATAGTTTTTCAGCATTACTTTTCCTGTTCAAATGCTACAGAGTATTTGAGTATTTTGTTATACAAGAAAAGATGACATACAACAAATGGACAAAATTTTCCTCCTTGAAAGACAACAGCACACTTAGCACACAGTTTGTTAAATTACTGTAAGTAAATTCAGAGTATAAAGGACTATGTGAAAGTCTTCATTCTCTGTGTAATCAGGTTTCCTTTAAAAACAAGCAAGATACGTAGGTCTTACTTTGGATCTTTTAGCGAGCAGTGAATTTTACATGCTATAATAAACATGATAAAATTTCTTGGTGGAAAAATTTAAGATTCTGTTGCATTTTAGAGTGCATTCCTCGTTCTAAGTACAAAGGAAAGGATTTTAGTATGTTAACTTTTCATGTAGAAGTAAAGATGGAGTAACAAATGTTGTCTGTTAAGTAAGAAAAGTTCATTCCTTCAACAGCTTATGTGCTCCTCACATTTAAGCAAAAGCACTTGTCAACTAGAAATGATTTGAGGTTGAAACAAGATTAAAAGAGCCAGATTAAAGAAAGGGATATATGAAATATAGTAGACTTTTAAATCATTGCCTGTCTTTTAGAAGACTGCTTTGTGGTTTGTTTGATGCCATCGTTAGCTCACAAGAAACTCATTTTTAGTCACTTATACTAGACTAAAAGGTCCTCCTTTAAAATACTCTACCAGTATGCATGTTTTTTCCATTAAGATCTTAATGAAACCTCAAATTAAGGCAGCAAATGAATATAAATTTGACAACTTCTTTCATTTGTATATAAGGGCTCCTTTGTTTTGATAGGTTTTGCTCTTTCTCCGTGATATTTAACATTCAATCTGAGAATATTTTTATTTTTTGAAGTAAAATTTGTTAATTATATTTGTAGTATTTGTACTTTTAGTGTAAGATATATATGTTGGATGGCAATAAAATTTTCAGTTTTGAAATTATTACTTCCAAGTTGAACCGTTTGTACTTGATATTTTATACAAAAATTTTACTTTTGGTATAATACAGCTCATACAGCTTTTTCTCTAAACTGGTTCTTAAAACTCATTCTGTTTCCCATTAGTTAGTTTTAAAGTATGATAATTCTCTTTTATGTTAGAGTAAAACAACAAGCTCATTTATTAGAAATAAACTATAAAAGCAAACTTCCACATTTTAGTTGTTTTAGACTTTTGTGGCAAATTGTATCCTCTATATTAGTTTAATAGGTGACTATGAAACAAAGTGAAAGAATTACAAATAGTATGTAATTCTTTAAATATAAAATTTAAGTTGAAATAACTAGTGTGAGTTTTTAAGCTCTTTTACTTTTAGTATTACAGTCAAATAAGTACCAAGTAATTATAAAGCTAAAATGCATGTAATACTTTCTTGAAGCCAAAGTTATTTTTGAATTGCTTATCAAAAATATAACAAATCGATAGTCCATCAGTATATATCCATCATATATATTTATTTTATTATATAAAGTTAATATGACAAAATAATTATATACCTGTAAAGTTAGATTTGAAACTTTCTTTAGTATTGTCTAGATTTTGATGAGAAATTTAAGTATTCATATAAAGGAATTTTGTGAGAATAAAGTTTTATTATTTATTTTTCTAAAAGTTAATACTTCTTAAAAGGGAGAATATTTTCTAATCTAATAGAGATCTGTTAGAACCCAAAGAATAAATTGTGGCATGATGAAATAGTTATAGACAATATGTTTAGACTTTTTTTAGTTATTTTAAATTAGATACTTTGTGTAAAACAGTATTGATCATGAAAGAAAATTTCCATAAGACCTTTCAAAAGCTTAATCATAATAAAGGGCATAAATTTTCTTCATCATCTTATGTTGAAGCTTAACTATCGGCTGTTATTTACGTTAAAGAAAAGGGAAGAAATGGTGCTTCTATGTTGCGTGTGCTCTCTCTACGTTTGTGTTCTGCAGCACGCACGCATCAGCACTGCTTTCTGATCGTGCTGCCCACAAACCGCCTCAAATATCTTGTTCTGTGGCACCTCCTTAGATCAACGAGGTCCCTATCCTACGATTTTTAAACAGATAGTAGTTGTTTGTAGTTGATTGTGGGAGAGAAATTCAATATGTTAATCTGACCAGATTACATAATACAGTAAAAGCCAGTGGGAAGATAATGGGAAACTTCAGTAAGCTTTGTGAATATTTTTGAAGTCCTATTATGTTAATATCCCCATATAATTCTCATGCTGTGCTGAAGCACTTATGCCTTTCCATAGAACATGTAGGACACAATGTAATTACTGATTGTGAATTTAGCATCTTATCTATTAATTTTTTATACTTTAAATGATGTAATTTTGAAGGTTTAGGAATTCCCCCTATTCTTTTCCTTCTTTCCCTACTCCCCAGTGTCTCCTTTATTTTCCCTCACATTATTACAGTAGTGTAGTTTTTTAGTAATAGTTACAAGTTTAATGTTCTATTGATTCACTTTTATTATTTTTGATTATGTTATTTTGTATCAGGCTTACTTAATAGACTATTATTATGATCATTTTTCTTAAACAATGATAGTTAGATTCCTTTTCTCTTATGCTTTGCTGCAGGGTTGTTTATAAAAAGTTAAATGAGTAAACGCGCATGAGATATCCTTAGGAAGAACCCCATTAGGACTATGATCATGTGTTTTGTTCATGTGTATAAGTGTTCTAAGAATCTGCCTTTATAATCCTACAATTGATCTTCAGGACCCATTATACATCTAATTCTTATTTTTATGGTATCCCATTTATTGAATACATGAGCAAGTCAGTGTGAAGAGGCTTCTAAGCATGTGCAGGAATTCATTTAGTACTCACAAATTTTCTGTGATAGGATTTGTTCAAGAAAATTCTTTCAGAGGAAAGGAGATGATGAGAGCAAGAACAACAAATTATAATTAGAATACTGTCTGATAAAAATTTAGTCACCAACATTCATGTGTAAATTCATATGACTTGCAAAGTTAACACTTGTCTATTTTATTCTGAGTCATTGCATGTGTATACCGTTTTACATCTCTATTTTCCTTAAATAATATGATCATTCCAGATGTAATTTAACATTATAAAAAATATGATGTGAGTGTGCTCAGTAGCCGTTTATCTGTTTAATAACAGGTAGCAAGCTGTTTTCAAAGGTGAAAATTCTTTTCATTCTCTGTTACGTGTAATTTATACTAATGACATTTATGGAGGCCCGATTAGAGGAAAAAAATGATTTAAAAACCTTATATAAATTAAACTTGTTTTTATTGTAAAATACTCCTGTGGGAGATATTGAATTAAATTTATATAGAATAACTCTAGGTTGATGATTTTCACTTGTTTGTTCTATAACTGAATTTTATGTAACTTACAGAATTTTATGAGATTTTAGTTTTTGATATGGGCTTATATAAGACCATAAACTAATAAAACATTGGGAATATGCTAAATTCATCTACTATAATTTTTCTGCTTTTTATTATTCTGCTAGCAAGGTAGCCATCTGGCCCAATACCAACTTTGTTAGTTTTGTTTAGGATTCATACTTTAAGAAGAATCATATTTTTTCTTAGGAAGTGACAAGCTCACTCTGTTACCACATGATTTTAAACAACAAAAATCACATCTACTAATTTGCAAAAGCTTCAAACTTGTTCCTTGATGTTTGTTTGTACATGGTAGTTTTGTTGTTCCCTGATGGTTATTCTATTACAAGAACACAATCCCACAATGCAAAAACCTTTAAAATTTTAGGATGGTTTTTCTCTCTCCTCTTTCCAGCAAACCCTCAGAGTTTAAAGATGACTAATGGTGCTTCATAGATGCCATCTACAAAGAACTACCCAAGGCAGTAGTTCAGTGATGATTTTTCTTTTTTGAGGGAAAATATATTTATAGCAGAGGACATCATAATCAGAGCATAGCGGATGCCAGTGACCTGAGTATTGTTAGAGGTTATATGGTTTGCTAGGTGTGGGATAAGTTTAAGGCTGAATAACTTGTGGCTGATCCAGTTATGAAGAAATGAAGTTGATTGTGAAATCTCTGGAAGGTTGACTGTGACTAGTTTTGTGTTTTAAGAATGTTGTGATTTATTAAGAAGGTGATGTTAAGAGTATAGTGAATGTTAATGGTGGAAATGAGATGAATTTTCATGTGTAACAGTAATTGTTATATGTGGATTTGATTCAAAATGTGTTATCAAAGGGAATAATCTGAGTATCCTCTGACCCAGACTCATTGCTTTCTGTAGGAGAAAAATAAAAATACTAAAATATAGTTTTTAGGAATTCCTTGAAAGATACTTGAAAGACTGTTTCAAATGTCATCGGAACTAGAAAGCCAAGATTGCCAACACAAAATCTAATATTTTGTAAACTGATGAGGGCTGTGGGCCTTAGAGAAAGATTTTTGATTGGCATTTTTATACATGACGAAGAAATTGCTCAGTTGATACTAATTGCAAGGAATCAAACAAACTCTGACAACAGACGTAATAGAATCCATGAAATAACTATTGGAGTAGGCTCTGAGTGGTTGAATAACTTACCTAAAAGCCACACAGCTATTGAGCAGCAACACTGAAGTTAAAATTTAGGTTTCTTTTTGACTTCTAAAATCAGTCTACTTGCATCCCGTCATACTTTATCTAAAGATAAAGGAAAGTGACTAGACGAATGGAGCTGTATTGCTTGGGAAGGTTATGGAGAAGAAATGTTAACATCAGCACCAGCATTCACTATATCCCAGCTAAGATATGACAGTGATGCTATTTTCTGATCTATGAGTTTGAGAAAATAATTTATATATGATGGTTAGCAAACTTAGTAACGAGCTTTAGGGAAGCTCTTAATAAGTCCAAGTAAAACTGAAACACAGCATTTGAGAGAAAATGAAAGGTAGATGCTAGAAATTAGGAATATGCAAGTTTATTTGTGAAAAACTTTACATTGGTAGTGATATAAGAATAATTCAAAAAAGATCATTAAAATGGAATTAAAGGATGTTTGTTTTGGTGTAAAATTTTGTGAAATCTGTGTATAGTTTTTTTGTAAGTACATTTCCTGTGAAATTTTTTAGACGTATGTGTGAAGTAATAATTGCTAAATGTGTCCTCACACATATAAAAAATGAGAGATTTATGCTTGTGAGACTATTGATATTTATTTCTGCCTTGGTCTTTTCACTGAACCAAAATAGACAAAATATTATTACAAGTCAAAGAAGAAGCAACAGATAGGAAGATAGGTGAATATACCGTATTGGTTCATTAAGCTTGCTCCCACCCCCATTCACTGCATAATTCAACATGGTATTTTGGCTGAGAGCATTTTCAAGGTTTCATGCAATATCATCTCATTTTCATAACGCTTTTGCCATTCACGTGTGTTGTTAACTCCCCAGTTTTATATCAACAGAAACTGATAAACCATTGTATTATTGTGTATTGTCTGTATTGGTATTACTGCTGCACACTGACTTTCCAGAGAAATGTTACCCAAAGACACTGAATTTTGCCAACACATATGGCACAAGAGGATTTAGTTTTATTGGGCTTTTAAATTGTTGCCTTTACAAGACTGAGTACCTTAGAACTAATTTTGCTTTCACACTAGAATATATCGTCACATCACCAGTTGTTACTTAAGGGAGATTGCATGACCCTGTTGTAGCATTTGAATACTTACAGGTGGAATTTATAGGAAAATCCCTTATTATCTAGAGAACTGCCATTTCATTGTGTTAATTTTTTTTCTGTCATTTTATTTTTTTAAGCAAAGTTAAACCACCTCCACAGATTTCACCTAGCAAATCGGTGGGTGGAGAATTTTGTGTGGCTGCTGTCTTTGGAACATCCAGGTCATGGTTTGCAAATAATGCAGGTCTGAAAAGAGAAAAAGGTATGTATTTTTACTGATGTTCAAATATATTATTTGTGGGTTTTTTTTTTTTTTTGCTTCTTAAGTAAAATTGGTAGTATTATATCTCACAAAATCATAAACCCAATAATGTGGAAACTAGTTTTTCTGTTCAAGTTATATGTCTCCTCAACTACTGGAACCCAAGTTTTCCTCTTAAATAAACATGGCACAAATTGGACATTGAGTACTTTTGGCTTTATTTGTTGGTGACAGTATACAGGTGATCTCAGTGCTATCAATTTCATATCCATTGTATAACTTTGACATTTTACAGGCTAGTTCCTCACTATTATTTGTTAAAATGGAGAGAAAAATGTTTAAGTTTTAACTAGTTTATGAGTGCTAAAATCAGATATTTCAATTACATTTTCTTATGATTTCTAATTTGTTAAAAAAAACTCAACAACTCTGATCTTTCTGTGATCTTTCTTTTTTAAAATTCATTTTTATTTATTTGTAAGACAGTGACACACACAGGGAACAAGAGTTGCCCTCCACTGGTTCACTCCCCAAATTGGCTACATTGGCTGGGACTGGTTTGAGTATGTTGTGATTTTCCCTAAAGTAGGTCACCAACTGTGTTGTTACTGGTCACTTTGCTGTTGAGTTGCATAGACTGCATTGTTCCTGGCAAAATGGCTGTGTACACTTCACACTGGCAGTCAGACGTCAGTCCTTTCCCTTGTTATCGCCTTTCAGTGACCCCTTCTTGGGTAATAGGATCTCAGGCACGGCAGGTTCCTTACCTAACTGAGAGAGGATACTATGAAGTAGGCAAGCCTTCCATTTCCTTATCCTATCTTTATGTTTTTTGTTACCTCCTTAGGTTTAATGATGCTATCAAAAAGACTTTTTTGTTACCAGTTGAAACCTTATGTGAAGCTCGATTTCAAGTTGTTCTCCCTTCTGTTCTAATTACCCTTTTAACTTGCTACTCCTTTGTGTCCCACTGGCTAGTCATTAGCAATTTTCGCAAATCAGCTGTAATTGATTCGTCTGACATAGAGATAAGATGACCCACCCAGCATTCATGAGTGATTTTATATGCTCTTTGGTTTACTTTAAACCCCCAGATAGAAGTCTAAACCTGTTTTGGTAGCAAATACATGTGTATTCCTTATAAAGTCATTTTGATTAGATCCATATTCAGCCACTGAACTCTCAGGGTATTGCAGATCTTCATTTACCACGAACAACCTTAATGCTATTGAAAGACAAGAATTAAGGATTTGTGAAAGAGGGAGGGATTTGTGTGTGTGTGTATTTAATAGGCTTTATTTTTTTATGGTAGTCTCAAGTTCATAGCAAAAGTGAATAAGGGCACAGAGATTTACCATAAACCACATATCCCCACACATGGATAGCCCCCTCCATTGTCAACGTCCCACACTCTGGGAGTACATTTGTTAAAACTGATAAAAGTACATCAGCACATCAGTGTTTTGGTTTGTTTGTTTGTTTGTTTGTTTTGATTCAGTAATTTAAGTTTATATTTAAGTTTCCTGAAATAAAGTAGATACGATGGTAGACTGATTTCGGCATGCTGTCCATGCATTTCACTCAGTCCTTTCCTATACATCTGATAGATACTATTCAATTTTATAACTTGGGGTTAATTATATGGTAGCCAAATAGAAAATGACATAGAATATTATTTGTATTAGAATTTTGGGAATGCTGTTCTTGAAAACAATTGCAGAAAAAATTTTAGGGAATTTTGATAGTGTACAGATTTTCATTTTCCTTAACATCATATTAGAGGTAACCTATAGATAGGCAAGGAGCAAGCAGTACATATAGATTGCTGTCTTTTCCTTTTTCCCTAATAGCCACTGGAGCCCACTGACAAGGTCAGTGACTTAATAAATAGTATACTGTGCTCTTCCATCATCAAACATCCAGATTTTGTTTCTCTGTTTGTAGATCAGTCCAAACAAGTTGTAGTTGAATCTCTCTATATTATCAGTTGCTATGGAACCTTAGTGGAGCACATGATGGAGCCACGAGCCCTCAGCACTGCCCACAAGATCAGTGATGACACTCCACTGGAAATGATGACATCTCCTCGAGCCAGCTGGACTCTGGTTAGGTAGTATTTCCTTTCATTTCATTTTTAAAAACACCTTTGTTGAAGTATTTCATGGATAAATGTTGACACATGTGTACAAGCAGTAAAATTATAACCACAGGTAGATTGAGACACATACCTATCACTCCTAGGTCCATTTGTAATTTCTCCTTCTTTTGTTCTTTTTGTCACTCTAGTTTACAGTATCCAGAATTTTGTGCAAATACACATACAAGATGTTTTTTCTGGCCTGGCTTTTTTCATCCAACAAAATGATAGTTTGCTACTTTTGCATTTGCCAAATAATTTAATGCGGTAAATTTTACCCATTGAAAAGTGACTTCTCATGAACTTTTACACCTATCACTTGCAGACCATTTTCAACATCACAGTGTGAAATCCTATAGGCACTTCCATTTTCCCCAATACTTTAGCAATCTTTATGTCTTTATGAATTTGCTTAATCTGGTCAATATACTTTTTTTTGACAGGCTTGCTACATTTAACATGTTTTTAAGGTCCATTCAAGTATAACCTGTATCAGGGTTGCATTCACTTTTATAATCAAATGTTATTTCATTTTATTGATGCCATCCATTTTTATTTTACCCATTCATCACTTGTTGGAAATTTTTCCTTGTAGCTATAATTGTTAGTGCTGCTATGAACAATGTTGTTGAAATGAAATTTTTCTGTGGACACATGTTTTCAATTTTCTTGACTGTATGTCCGTGGAGAATACCTGTATTTGAACTCTTTTTCTCCTTACTCCTTTTTATTGGCTTTTACTGGAGTTTTGCTTTCCCTGTTTGCAATTTTGTGTTCCACAAAAATAGATGCCCATTCAGGGGAATGAGCACTAATATTAAGTAGATTCAGAATTTTTTCTAAAGCAGTTCCCAAAGAAGAACCTTGGGTAGACAAAGTATAAATGCTGATTAAGGATAAGGGCGACTCTAATGAGTACAAAATTAATACAATATTTATGAGTTACCTCATAGAACAAGAATATGAAATCTGGAATAAGAAGTGCTCAATATAGTATGTTGTCCAGGCTAGGAAAGTTATTCCTGAAGGAAACAGACACAGATGGATTTGAAAATTATCCCTGTCCTTTGCCAATTTAAAGTATTCTATTGATTCTTTACTTCTACTTTACTGTGTTGGATCAGTATCTGATTTACCACACTTATGTAGAAGCAGGTAAAACTAATTAAAATGATTTTACTACTTTGTTGAACTGGTGAATTATTTTGGAAGTTAGATCTTAACTAGATCTGTAAGAAGTCTTCCATTTACAAGCTATATATTAAAAATACACTCATGTTCTATAGATACCTAAAACTATGTGCCCATATTCTAAAAGACTTAAAGATGGTCAGAAATTATATAAAATTAAGCTTAGTTAAATGTGGCATTTGAAATCTGTACTTCCTCTCTGCAGATCTTCTGAATGTCTCATCTGCCTTATTGGAGAATCTTCTGCTGTTAAGCTAATATGGACGCCTTGTCATATGTGTGACACACAGCTACCTTTTAATTCTCTTGAAGCAGATGGCCTAGTGTTTCAGATTTCAGCACGTTCATTTTAATGATTACAAGTTCATTTTAATGATCACAAAAATATTGTGAGTTTCTGTCAATAACTGTGAGCGATGACAGTCATGATGATTTGCAGCCTATATATTAAGCTAAAGTATTAATATTCTTTGTTTTCTTAGAACCCCTCAGTGGAATGAATTGCAGCCACCATTTAATGCAAACCACCCTCTGCTCCTCGCTGCAGATGCAGTACAGTATTACCAGTTCCTGCTAGCCGGCCGTAAGTAATTCTGATGGTTTTGTTTCCCCCGCTTCTATATGACCTTTTCGGATCTGATCTTAAAATCTTACTTTTAAAGCAGCCTTTTATGTTATAACTTGTCTGTATGCCATAGGCCCTAAACTTAGGTGGTAAGATACTTAATAGGATATAAGCCATGAACCTGAGCACATATTCAGTGTATTTCTGATTGCTTATGTTCTCTTCCCATGAAATACATCCCTGCAATGATTATAGGTAAGTTGATGGCAGTATGTGAGGGCTGTTGCAGAATATTGAACAGAACAGAACATTAGAATGCTAGATAGGATATAATAGGGAGTTATGTAAAGCCTTGAATATATTTCTAACAGGAGAAAAAAAGTAAACACTTTTCACTGTGAAAGTTATGTCAGCAGGTTTTTCTTTTGTATACTTTTACTTGGAATAATATATTCCATTGATTTCTAGATATACAGCCTTTTTCTTATGCAAGTGATGCAAAGACAGTATTTATTATCCAATTTGTGTTCACAGAATTAAAAATCCTTTGTAATTATAATTTAATTTTGTAAAATGGACTGAGTCCTAATATAACTTGATGGCCCTGAATACTATGTGCTTTTAAGAAACTCCCAAAAATAAGAACTGACATATTTTTAATGAAGTTTTATTGTAATCAACTTATTATCTTGTCTGGCATAATATAAAGCATGAATTTGAACAGTTTAGAGTTATTTTACTTCACTTTTTATTACATGTTATGTATTATACTGGAGAGAGAAAAATTTTATAGACATCACTGTGAATTATGAAACTCTACAACCAAAGGGAATAGTTGGTAATTATGAAACTACAACTAAAGGGAAATGTTGCCTGGTTGCATAGTTGAGTTCATTGCTTCTTCTAACACATGTTTATTAGTACCTATTATATATCTTTTTATTTTATTTAAAGATAAAACTTTTTATTTAAAGATAAACTGTGTAATGCTTTGTCCTCAGTAAATTTGTTACCTAGTACTAGAGATAGATATTCAGTATATAATTACAATAAAGAAGAGAGGGTTTGTCAGTGGAAGAGCTTGTATTAAACCAAGACAGCAGTGATATAAATTACCAACGTTGATTGGTTCAAGAAACAGGGTACAAAGAAGTTGTTTCTAGGTTTTTAACTCTCTAATGAACTGGAAAAACAATAGCTTGTCAAATGGGTACATTTTCTGCTACCTCTAAAAAGGGCCAAATAAATGATTGTTGACTTATAATCATACTTGATAGTTTCAGAATTGATATTGATTCCTGATTTGATATTTTTATACCTATTTGGTCACAATCTGCAGCTGTCTCTTTTAATTTCTTTGTTCTGGTGATTGGGTTGATCAACATCACCTCAGTTGCCCTCAATACCCTTGTCCAATTCTTAGAACAACAAAAATTTCGAGGTACATAGTTTGATACCCACCATTCAGGTAGACAGTATTAAGACTTCAAATATTTCCCAGCACAGGACTAAAATTATCAGAACTGCATTTTAGAAAGATCACTTCAGCAGTGTTTGCACAAGAATGGAAGTGGAGACAAGCTGAGAGCTTAACTGTTGCAGAGAGGACAAGTAGTTGTTGATGATTTCTGTGGTTTATAACTATAATAAACATTTTATATACCTGTAGATGAAAAGACTTGGATTCCAGTGCCAAGTCACCCTTGATAAATGTAAAATATGAACACTAACATTTGCTTTTATGAAGATCATGAAATTATGCTAAAGTCCTTGTGAAGATTGTGAAGCAATATATGTTTATCATTATATAGCTTTGTTGGTTATCACAGTGATACATATTTTCATATGATAGATTTCTGGTACTTTCTAGTGTTCAACTTTTTAATTTAAAGGAATTTATTAATACATTAATCTCAGAATGACAGCACCTGAATGATAATTACCACATCAGAATTCTTGTGTCAATGTGATATTAATACAAAGAGCATATTAAAGGGGTTCCTAGATAAAATTCTAATAATATAATGCTACTTTCTATCTCCCCTCCTTCTTCCTTTCTTCCTTTCTTTTTTACTTTGTGGGATAACATGTATTTAACTTACATTATAGTTAAAGGCTTAATACTGTGCTAAGTAATGCATTGAGCAAGTAAGAAAACAAAAATTATAGTTCATCAGGATTATAGAGAGGGATATGCTTAAGTGAAAATATGTTCATTTGACTCATATACCGTAAACTAAAAAATAAGCACAGATCATCAGAATTATAATAGTATTTCTTTTGTAGTCTTTGGTTTGACAAAGATCTTAAGCAGAGTATATATTCAACATTAGTGGTGATATATTTTTTGAGTTATGTGATTTTAATTGTGCTAAATCAATAATTAAGTGAAAGAAATGATTAATATATCTTTTAAGTTAATACAATAGATAAAAATTAACATATTAAAAAACTAAGATAATCCTGAAATGATGAATATTTCTCTATTTTATATTGAATGTAGAGATCCAGAATTAGCTCCTACCTAAAACTCAGCTGTTCGTTCCTGTGTGAATATAAGCTATTTGAATGATATCTTCAACATGACAGTATGTTACTTGGATAAAACAATGAAATATGAAAAACATGGGTCTAAGGAGTAGAAACCCAGAATGTAACTGATGAAAGCAGTGCTGGTACCACTGAAGACTACCCTAACCTGTGCATCAGTTCCATGCTTTCAGCTAGTAAGAGCCTCTTAAGAAGGCATTATTCACTCACTTTCTTTGCCATTCCCTTTCCGGAAGCCTCTTGAAAGATATTGTACCTCTTAAAGCAAAAGGATAGCATAATGATGCATGAAAGTATTTTGTTTTTAGTTTTATTTAACCATATTGAAAGCTTGCTTATTTTTCACCTTGAATACCTTGGTAAATATTTTCTAAAATTATTTTAATTACAACTATGTAGGAAATTTAAATGCAAATGTCAGAAATGTTAAAAGCATTTCCTTTATTGAGTTTGAATATGTAGATCAAGTGAAACAGTCTTGTGTAAAACCACAGAAGTTACAATACTGCTACAAAAAGAGTGATGGAAATGGGAAAGAGACATTGTTTTAGAGAGAAGGGAAGAGCAGAGCAGGATGCTTAGTTGCAAATTGGAGTTCAGCCTATGTGACAAAACAGTTGGTCAGTGGGAGAAGGTCAGGGAGATTTACCTAAAGCACTAAAAAGAGTTCATAACTGGGACTATCATTAAGCATTTCTTACCCATATTAGTTGAGTGGGAATGACCAAAATTGAGGAATTTTATTTTTATTGAGAGAGATTAGTGGTCTGTAAGTTGATACATTAAATTGACTGTGTCATAAAGTACACCATTCAAGAATGTTCTATGTGGAGGTCATGATAGTGGCAGTGATGACTTATTTTTCAAAGGCTTAATCCTATGAAATAGTTTTACTAAGTAAAAAAATGGTCTAGTAACAGCAATTTCATACAGTTTATCTTAGTAGAGTGAACAATTTATATGTACAAACTACTTTATATAATCTTGCTTGCTCACAGAAGGTGAAAGTCATGAATCTCATCCAAAGTATTTTTTTTTCTTGTGACAAGCATTTAAAACAAAGAAAGTATAAAAAGGTTACATTAGAGATAAACAATTTTAGAATTACATTTTTCACTGCAAAATGAAAAGTCATAATGACTTTTTCTGACATAGATGTTTTGTCATTGTTTCCTTTAACAGAATCAATAGAAAACCATGTAACAGACCAGTAAGCAACATTCAGCTCTGAGTGTGATCCTACAGTTGTCAGCATTTTCTTTGGTGCGCTTTAATGCTTCCAAATTGTAAACTAAAAACAGAATTTACTAATTTGTTTTGTAAAAGCTTTGTTTAGAGGATAAGTAGTGTTTCTTCATTTTCTTTCAGATAATTTTACAGCAGCAGTAATTTATTTTTATTTTTACTTACCTGTTTAAAAGGTAGAGCTAGAGAACAAGAGCAAGAGAGTGAGAAAGATTTCTATCCACTGGTTCCATCCCCAAATGGGTGCATCCAAAATACAGGAGCAGTTGCCTCCATTCAGATGTTATGCATGAGTGGCAGGGCTCACTCAGTCTTGAGTCTTCATGTCTTCAGTCTTTCATGTGCTACTTTTCCAGATACATTAGCAGGGAACTGGATTGGAAATGGAGTAGCTGGGTCTTAAATCAGAGCTCAAATGAGATTCTGGCATTATTTAGGCAATGACTTAACTTGATGAAATACATCGCCTGAGAAGTATTTTTCAGTTGCTAATATTAATTAGCTTTTGGTGAATGTAGTTTTCATAATTTGGATTTTTGTGTGAAATAGGTTTTCTGCAAATGGTAAGTTTTCCCCCTTGATTTACACTGAGCTTTATTTGAAACAAAAATATATATCCATTCAATGGAAATATTTCATTGATATATGAGCTTCAGAAAGGTGACTGGGATCCATTGAATTTTCCAATGCCTTATTGGTGATGTACAGTCAGCCCCTTCTATCCTTGTGAATGGCATCCAAGTGATTGCAGATAAAAAATGAAGGATGAAAAATTTGTATTGAAGAGGAGTTCTTTCTTGTTATCATTTCCAAAATAATATAACTGCTATTTACATACCCTTTATGTTCGATTAGGAATAATAAGAAATCTCAAGATGATTAAATGTGTATGGGAAGGGTTGCATAGGTTATATGCAAATATTACACTTTTATATAAGGACTTGAAGTTGGGTAGGGTTTTGTATGCATAGGGATTATGAAACCAATTCTTCATGGACACTGAAGGATGGCAGTTATATCTCTTCTTCTACTTTTGGCAGCAACATAGGAATGGGAATGGTAGAGAGAACTTTTCATATGCTTCAATTTGACCTCTAATATTGATTGTTTTTTGAGAGTCCAGTTGAACAGAGCGATCTCACTGAGAAGGGACAACAGATCAGCTTTATTTTTCTGTCTGAAAGAGACAATAGCAAACAGAAGAACTTACTGATGTAAAAACT